GATGTTTAAGAGAGATCGAAAACAATCGGTAATACATTTTATAGTCAAAGATCCGACTTAATCGAACGCTAAGAATCACGAACATTATTAGTTTTTCCTTAAGTGCAAAGCATTTAGACCTACCAGGAACACGTTTTATTTAAAAATGGTAATAAAACAGTGGCTATTTTGCGTGACTGAAAAAAAATTAATTTAACAATTTATTTATCCGATCAACAATATTAAGGCGAATGTAATGTGCCTCTAACAAATGCAAGACAAAAGCCGATAAGTACGACTTTTAGCTTAATTAGCTAAGCCTAGCTTTTGTGTACAACACAGCACAGTAATATTCAGAAAAAGTGAATTTTCAACTATCAGTCATTGATCATCATGTGCGAACTAGGGTGACTGTAACTCTCATTCATTATATATGAACTCAGGACATCACATACTAGGTACTCCGATCTTAAATACAAAGATAAGGCGTCGTTTTTTGAATCTAAATTATGCTATTCTAAATTGTTGTTAATCTATTTAGTTCAAATCGGATAAACAAATAGTAAAATTAATTTTTCTTTCAATTTTGAACTCATATGTGATAAAAAGTAGCCATTGTTTTATTAACATTTTGGAATAAAACTTTTTATTGTTAAGCTTCAATATTTTGTACCTAAAGAAAAGCTAAAGGTATTTGAGACTGCCAAGTTAGAAATGATTTTAGTAAATTTTTGACCCACTATGGGTTAGACAAATGGAATTTAAAATAATTTGGCACATTCACATATTTTTAATTACATCCTTTCGAAAATCGGGAATTCAGTTAAATAGGAAGAAATTTCTCGTCAAGCAAATGAGAAATGTAGAATAATTAATACGTCAGGATAAAGATTTTGGGGGAAAATAGAGTGAAATCTGATTTCTACTATGGTCGTCCAAATATATCAGATTGAATAACTAAAGCATGATATACAGTAACCTTTTAAATAGGACGACTAAATATAACATAAAACGACGACATTAATAGATATATCTAAGTTCATACTACAGGAAATTAGAGGCGCATCCGAATAAGTCTAGCGATGGGCGAAATACGGATCAGCAACCTAGGGAAGAGAACGATGCCAACAAATTATAAAAATAGTGCTTCCATGAGGAAAAATGTGAATAATAACAAATAAAAAGGGATATTTGAATAATTTGCTACCAAGAAGTTCATTTATTGGATGACGCTTTAAAAAAGTATAGATATGGACAGGATTCAGGTATACAAAGTCATGAACGAATGTAAAAATGGAGCCTACTCGAACATTAAAATTTCCGTTAGAGACATCCACACAATCCTGAACGAAGTGTGGATCAAAGTATATCACACGATCGCCTTGGCAACCAGCCATGTAGACGGAGTGCCGAGGACGGCCACCGATTAAGCCGACACAGAGAGGATCGGCAAGCAAGCGAAGTAGTAGATCCGTGTGTCTAACAGGCACACGAATCCCTGAGCCGAGCATCAAAGGCAAAAGAAGAAGAACGGGCTTAGCCAAAGGGGTGATAATGGGGCCCTCAGAAGCTGAAGGATAGGGAGCGACAGAGTTCGACTGTGAAGTCGGAAGAACGGCTTCAGATGCTAAGGCATGATCATGTGGGCCTTCAACAGTATTATCTGAATAGGGATAGACAAAGTGGATTAAAAATTAGATAGATCTGTCTGTATAAGAAATAGTGACCTATCTTGTTTATGATTGGCAAGTTAAAAGAATAATAAAATAAAAATTAGCTAATAACCATGAAAATGCTGCATCTACAATGAAATTTATGGATTAAATGCAGTCGACTTACTTAGAATATTGTGATCTGGAGTTCGATAGAGATGCGATGGGTAGACATTAGTGTCAGGGGAAACAAAGGTGGTGGAAAATGGTGAAGGGGCAGGTGAAGGGATAACAAGGGAAGGTGATGAGGAAATGAATGAAATGGAGTTAAAAGATGAAGCAGCATATGAAGATGGGGAAGAAAAAGGGGAAGGCGTTAAAGATAAAGAGGAATAAGTGGAGTTGAAGGATTCGGCGGGGGTCGAAGAGGCCTCGCGATGCCTGGCGGTGCAATCAGTGTAACAAAGCTCTTCAGTCTGTCGTGGTGGTAACGGCTGCCCATTTGCTAACGCCAACACCTCCTGTGTTAGAGCATGATATGGGGAAGGAAATGATTTTAAATGAGATTGCTCAAAGATAGACATAGATTAATTTTAATAACAAATGCTGTTAAAGCCCTTAAAGCTGAAAGTATGATTCAAACTGTATGGCTGTAGAAAGAAAATGACTAAGACTTTTAGGCTCAATTGTATTGTAAAATTATAGCAAAGAAATCAAAAGTATATTAATGTTGGAGTAATTTCATTTCGTTTAAAGAGGCGAGTGGAAGAGATTCGTAAGTTGTTTTCACCGGAGGCTGCCTTGGAGCTGTGGTTGTAGATTTGTGTGAATAGGTCCTCGGCGCACCACCCTGCGACCCCGATGAATTCTTACTCAGCTTTGGTCTGTCATGTGACGGACATCATCAGAGCAGGTCGCCGGCCTCAAACATACTTCCTTCCTATATTCAAATTTGGTCCTCTTATACATCTCAAATTTTGGTTGGATATCCTATGCTTTGCCACTATATTTGCTCATAAGTTAAGTTAAGTGGCTGCGGATGAAGCGTTAAACGGATGCAATTGAAACCAAACCGTTGCATCCTCCCCTAAGACACTTATGCCTTTGACTTTGCAATGTCACCTCATATGATCGTGCCATTGCAAACGTGTTATGTGAGTGCATTGCTCTTGAAATGAGTATGATGTGAAAGTCAAAACCAGATTCCAGCCTAACCAAGCTTCCTCCTTTTGCACGGCGGTACTTTTCGTTCCTCACGCTCTCTATAAACCTATTCAATAGACACAAGTAATTTTCGCTTAAATTCCCACACCCATTTCTTCTATTCAAGGTTTTGACTGTTTTGCTTATTTATAACGCTTCTTTAATCTCTCGCTTATTGGTATAGTCTTCATATCCAGCTAAGCGTTTGGCATTAGACCAATCTATCTGGTGTTCGGTGCAAGCCATATGTTCGGCCAATTCCGATTTTTTGATCTACATACCCTTGCGGGCTGTTTTGTGTTAGGATAATCTCTTACATGTCTACATGTCTCTCCCACATAGGCACCACCACATGAACACAAAATCTTTTAACGCCCCGATCTGGAGAGCGGGTCAGAGTATTCTCGAAAAGAAGGCATCATCAAGGAAAGTGTTATTTTCTCTGTATAAATTGTCCTGATGTCCCAACTCCTCAGTAATTTCCTTATCTTCTTCGACAGATTATACGATAACAGCCTAATGATCCTAATAGAGTGATCTATCTTTTTATCTAGCCTCAAATATGTATTTGATTTCATTCCATTTGACAATATTATAAAATAGTTGTCAACCAGCCCTCCTGTATGACTATGCTCAACTAGAATTCGTCTTAGTCTCTTCAGTTCATGATCCCGATGTTGTGCATCTGCCAGACGCAGGCTCCTTATTATCATAGACTTCATAACTCCTACCTTAACCCCATAAGTGTGGTTGGAGAAGAAATGCAAAGTAAACCTGCATTTGTTGGTTTCCTATACATATCTCTACCTAATCTGGTCTCCTTTTTGCTAACTAGGACATCAATGAAAAGTAAACCACCATCCTTTTCTCACTCGATGGTGAATTTCGTCTTCCTGTCCGTCAAACAAAAAATTCTCCTGGTTTTCTTTTCCTTGTTGCCAAATAGCAAAGTAGTTGCCCATAGAGCGAACGAATAATTTAGGAACTAAAAGTGATTCCTGAATTAAATGTTCCTTAAATTAAGCCATGTATTTATTTGCTAAAATTGGTGGCAAACACGATCCCATAGCTAAAACTCGTGTTTGCTCGTGCAGGTGAAATATCTACAATACATCGCTAGGTTGATCAATATCATTATTGACCCTTTACGTAATTTTGTGATCATTAAAATCCCTGCGTGTTGGTCTAGTGTGGATTGCAGGGCCTATATGGCGTCATCTACATGGATATTAGTG